TGTTTCGTAAGCGTTTTATAACAAGTCTCAAAAATACGTCATGTATTTTTCACTTTTCCTTTCTTTTCATATTGTCATAACAGTCCTGTACTAAACATATTCAAACAAAGTAGGCTACAGATGCGTTGTCACCTCTGAGGACTAAGATCTCTTTACCGCTTACCGCGGCGTTGTCGTCGCGCCACAAGCGAAACACATCGAAGGCCAAATCGCGCTATCAAAGTTCTGACATTGACGCGCTATATTATAACAGTTTCGAAATAACACGGAGCGTTGGCCGCTCCCCGGGCAGAATACCTTGCCGAACTGTAGTGGGTAACCACCCGACGTGATGTGAACACGCAACCAACAACCATCGTATACTACAACTTCAAGACTTCATAATTATCCTCAAGGACCCCTTGCCACCATTCACTTCTGAGAATCGTCTTCTCGTTCGTTCTCCGGCACATCGTTCTCACCGGCATCACTTGCAAATGCATAGTACGGCATGTATTACACAATGGCATATCGTTCGCACCAGCGTCACTTGCCCTTACACCATGCATTCCCCACCGGCATTAAGGCCGCACCGGCAATCGGAATGTAATATCGAATGTAATGTCTGTGCAATGGATTATGTGGCGCAACAAGCGAAACACATTGAAGCCTAGTTAAATAAAACTAGTTTTTACGGATTTTTCGACGTTTCGTGCACATTAAAGCACCCATGGGTACGGGTGGTAGGGTAGGTATTTGACGTTCCAATGTCATAATTAACCACGGCTACCTCCAGATTAAAATATTAATGAATGTGGTCTCTCTTATATAGGATAAATTAAAACATTAATAAAAACCCGCGGTAAAGAACACATAGCTGATGTGAAGAATCGACGCTCCAGGAAGTCTGCAGTCTGTGAACACGTACAGGATCGCCCCCGTCGTGCTTGAAACGTCGGTAATATAAAATAAGTAAATATACGCGATTAAATCCGTAAAAACTAGTTTTATTTAAATGTGTAGTGTTCACGTAAATATAAGAAGTCATTACATCGATGCCTAAATCGCGCTGTCAAAGATCCAAAGTAATGCAGTATAATATGTAGAATAGCTCCGAACTGCCACTCGGAGCGTTGACTGCCCCCCAGCCAGAACACCTTGCTCGGCAGGAGATCTCCGCTTTTCCTTCAACAGCCAAACGTGCCAACTGGAACACAACAGTGCAAGTACTATTATTTGGTTTCAGAAATAAGTTAGAGTATAGTACCTATCCCGACGGACACCTAAGAAAATTGAGAAATTGAACACGATAAAATCCGTCAAAATAATTTAATTCAATGTCAAGTGCACTTTTTGATTTACTTAGAAAATAAAATAAAAAGAAGGAGCTTTGGCTTTAAATTCGCATGCAAACCGTAGTCGTTTTAAAATTAAAGCTTTTTTTGTAGCATAAGGGTGACTAACGAGCACCCAGTCTACCTGCTGGTAAGTGGAAGCTATGGCATATGGACACCTACATATAACCTCGATTAAGAATCAAAATACAGATGTGTTGTATCCTGAAGACTAACTGGGATACCTCGCTACCAAAGAGACTCCGATTTGCTTCACTCACCATATAAAACACAGCACCCCTATTTAACGCCGGTATTCTGTGAGACCGTAGTCCTTCTCCGGTGGAACCGAACCCATTCGTGCAACAACTATAATATATCTGTAGCATGGCTCTATCACGAATAAATTGATTATTTATATTTATCTTTATTTATCATAACTCGTTCCGTTTCTTTGACATCGTCTGTTTCGTATCCTTTGTACATTATCACTTTGAAATTAAACCAAGTGTTACAATTAAATTAATCTTCTACATGAGCTACACTGAGCATTGTCAACCGGTTGTATAGTAAAATATGTTTCTGCTTACATTACTTTATACTTCTAAGAACGGTGAAAATATAATTTAAGGATAAGCAAAGTACACACGAAGTTGTTTTGCGAATGTTTACTTATGACATAATATTGTCAAACTAGATTAGTATAACTTCGACTGAGATTAGATCAATATCGGCAGAGTTAACTCAGCTGGAAAGCGTTCGGGAGATAACGACAAAAAAACAAGATTGTGCAACTAATGCGTCTTGCCAGCGATTACATATGGATCTGAGACGTGGTTTATCGCTGATGGTCATATTAAGAAGCTCAAGGATCTATGGAGTGGGCTATGCTTGGAGTTTCTCTGCGTGACAAATGTACTGAGGATATCCGCTTTAGAACAGAGTAGCCGACAAAGCACAACGGAGCAGTAAGTGGCAATGGGCAGGCTAGACACCCAACACCGGCTATTTCGCGAAACGGACCGAAGCCTAAATCGAGCTACCGATGTTTCTGAAACAACCTATGTATATATATATATATAAAATATGCTCTGTTCTACCACACGGAGTATACCGAGCTTGTCTGCGGGAAATCTCCCCTCTTCTATTCACTGCCAAAGTAGCACTGAAATATAGGTGGGGAAAAAAGATGCTTTTCAATCTCAGAAATATACACCATTTTATTTTTCACTCAGATCTTAGTTAATAGAAGTTAGTTGCAGAAGTGAACGGCAGGGTCGGGAAGGGACGCCCTAGACGAAGGTTTATCGACCAGATCGGCGATACATTGAAAATGGGCCAGATTAGGAGTACCCTTAACCGACGAGCGTGTATGCGTAGATATATGGATGTGAAAGAGGCGAGAGAGGTGTGTCAGGATCGCGCCAAATGGAAGTCCGTAGTCTCTGCCTACCCCTCTGGGTGACAGGCGTGAGTGTTTATGTATCTTAGTTAATTAATTTGCACGTCATTGATATTATAAAAACTAATTCCGGAGGTAACGCTCAACTCCTTGACATATAATTTTACCACGGTTTTTCTTTTTCAGCTAGTAGAATATTCGTGTGCCAGTTTCTATGTAATCTGTACCAGATTCTTCAAATAAATTACGATTTACTTTTAAACTGAATAAAACAAACACAGCAAATCATTTCCTAGACATCGCATTCGAAGCTCTTTACTGTGAGTCGAGATTTCGTGCGATGAGTTTATATTCAAAATCCACATTGAAACGTGAAGTTTTAAGTGCTTACTTATATTGTGTTTCACTTTTGTTTTCTGAACTGTTAAAGTTCTTATTATGAATACAATATTCGACGTTTGAAATATGTAGACAATTTCTATTTTTCACTGAGTGTTAAATTCGAGAAGGTTCTACATTCAACGAAATGTTTTTTACGTGTATGTATTTCACCAATTTCTTAGAAATATTTAAACCGATTGAAATGATTCTTTTTTTATTAAAAGGTTTTTCCTTCACGGGTGGTCCCATATAAATATATATAAAAAAGTCCATCAAACCCTGAAAATTAAAAACCAGAGAAAGAAGATTTTATTAATGATTCTTATATTTCCGCAAAGATTACGCATTAAATTAAACCAAATTTTTACGGATTCTATCGCATTCTATTTGAGGCATGCCTGACGAGAAAGTGTGTCGTCATCTCCCGAACGCTGCCCAGCCGACTTAAATCCGTCGATTGACCTCTTGGTTGAAGTTGGACATACATAGTCGGACTATTTGTCCCAGGTAATTATTCTCGTCAACAACTTAGAGCTTAGTACTCCCAACAGCTACCGGCATAGTTGTGACATGGACGTTACACATGACTTTTGTTTTGTCTATATTCATCTTAAGACCTATCCGTTGGGAGACACTATTGAGGTCATTGAGCATAGTGCTTAGGTCCTCCAGCAATTCTGCCATAACTGGCAAAGTATTCAACACCTTTTTTTACGCATTTTGAAAGACAAAGCACATGTCATGCCCTAAAAGTGTGCTATCCATTTTATTCGAATGCGTGACATGTCGACAATAAAGGAGCGGAGACCCTTAAGCGTCTTGTTGGGAGGGAGGAATTAAATCATTAAATTTCTAAGCAAACTCCCTGGAATGTATTGTAATTGCGATAAACCGGTCGATCGCGATCGATCGGTTGATCGCGACTGTTAGTCCAATCGATCGTGGCAAGGCAAAAAATATAAATACGTAGACCAGACTGCCCAACGTAATCACCTACTGTTGGACGCATCATCTTGTATAATTTTTCAATCGCTGTTCCATCACGGTATTTATCCTCTACTTTACGCAGTATAGTCTATTGTTTTCGGCGTGCGATGACCAATAAGCCGGAAGCGTGTGGGATGCGGGAGTGGGATGGGAGAGTCTCAGTCAGTCAGTTGACAGTTGACGACAAAGACTACCGGGGTTACGTCGTTTCAACGATTGTCGATGTAAATCTCGATTAGACTTTGTATTAGGCACGCATCATAATTTGTTTACGTACGTAAGTGGTTGAAAAGAAGCGCTGAAGGAACATCAACTGAAGAAAGAAATGCTTCTGAAGGTTCATCAAATAAAGTAAGTTAATATTTTTAATATTGTTATTACTCCAAACAGATCTCTCAATAATTTTCCTATACTACAAGAATCACGAATTTACAACTGCCTCTTTAAATCAGTGCCTTATTATTTTAGATAGGTACTCGGTGCTTCAAACGAATTATCCACCTAGTAAGTGGGTAAAAAACTAGAAAATATTGTTCACTCGTTAACTTTGTGCCATCGTTACGAAATTTATTCTCATTAAATTGTATTTCTACATTTGTTATTATACAAATTATGTTCCTAATATTTTAATTTCATTTTTTTACAGATTCTTGATAAATGTGCTCCAAAGAAATCAAAAACTTATCATTTTCACCAAGAATGGGAATTGGACTACTTCTTTACTATGGTGAAAGAAAACTGTTGCTGCCTAATATGCAATACATCCCTGGCAATTCCCAAAAAAGGAAATTTAGAGTGACATTTTAACACAATGCGTAGTAAATATCAGACTGACTTTCCACCTAACAGCGAAATAAGAAAGAGTAAATTGCAAGCACTGAAATCGCAATTAAAAGTCCACAATAGGCCCAGAAAACATGTTTTCTGGGCCTATTGAGCAAAGTAAAGCTGCAACTGAAGCTTCTTTCCAAGTAAGCTACAGAATTGCACAAAAGTGCAAACCTTTTTCCGATGGAGAATACATCAAAGAAATCTTCGAAGAAGTGTCAGATTCGCTGTTCGTGAATTTCAAAAATAAAAACGAAATTAAAAAAGCTGTTCATGGATTACAGCTGTTGCGAATTACTGTAATGCGCCATATAGAAATAATAAGTAAAAACTTAAACGAACAACTAAAAAGAGGTATCGCCCTCTGCGTTGCTTTTTTGCTTCAGTTTGACGAGTCAACAGATGTCACTGATACTGCACAATTACTTGTTTTTATTCTGATGGTCTTCGAAGATTTCTCGACCAAAGAAGAACTGCTAGGTATGATTTCCTTAAAAGGAAAAACTCGTGGCCTTGATATATTCACGGAATTCAAAGCATATATTTCTCAGATTAAGCTATGCATTTATAAACTCGTATCAATGACAACTGATGGAGCTCCTGCAATGACAGGTATTCATAATGGTTTTATTGCTCTTTGTCACAAAGATGAAGATTTTCCAGACTTCATTAGCTACCACTGCATAATTCATCAACAAGTACTGGCTAGTAAGAGATTAAATACGAAACATGTGATGGATATTTCTTTTAAGATTGTAAATTCCATAAAGGGAAAATCCCTCCAAAGGCGGCTCTTTAAACAGCAATTAGATGAGAAGGAACCAGAATTGGCAATGCACTGACGTGAGGTGGTTGAGTCGAGGCAAGTTTTTGCAAAGATTTCGAGATCTATTGGATGAAATAATAAAATTTCTTGATGAAAGTGGTGATGATTATCAGCAATTGCGTGATTTAGACTGGCAATGTGATTTAGCTTTTTTGGCAGATTTTACTGGAAAACTGAGTACATTAAATCTGAATCTACAAGGCAAGAATAAAACATTAACAGAAATGATGAGTTCCATTGCAGCGTTTCAATGTCAAACAGCGTCTATGATAGTTGACATAGAGAAGAAAAAATTTGAACAATTTGTTAACATCAAGGATCATATGGAAAAACATCCTAACTACAATTTCATTTCCAAGAAATATACGATAGAAATTAGGGCAGTGGTAGCAGACTTCGAAATTCGCTTTGGTGATTTAAGTGGGTTATCCGTTCAATGATTCCATTGATCATAGTGATATCTATGAATTGGCTACAAAATTTGCAGAAATATTTCAAATGGAGCACATGACGTTACAAAACGAAATTATTACTCTGCGCTGCGACATATTTCTTAAAGCAAGGTCATCCTCAGGTCAAGATATCTGGGCATTGGTTTCCAAAGAAAAATATCCAAATTTGAAGAATTGTGTTGAACAACTTCATTCGTGTTTTGGTTCAACATATTTATGTGAATCAGCATTTTCCTACTTAAAGCAAACAAAAAGTAAACACCGTTCTCGCTTGACAGACGCTCATACATTGGATTCTTTAAGGTTGGCAATGTCCAACTACAAACCTGATTATGCTAAACTAGTGGAAGTTACTCAGACGCAATGCTCACACTAATATATATGTAAATAAGTAGTTACTAAGTATAATTTTCTCATTTATGATTTTACTCTTAATAAAAAAAATGCTACATGATTGTGTACTGAACTATGCTGTTTCATTTAAGATTTCTAGAAGTGGTAGATCGCACAGGGTCTCATTAGTGAACAAGAGATCTTGGGTCCAATCAAGTTGGCCACCCCTGGTATATAACATCGATAGGCTGGCTACTCTGCGCCTCTGCTCGAAAGTGACAACATTAGTTTAAACCAAAATGGGCCACACTCTCTCTCCTCCCTGCATGCTTCATCTGTAGTATATTGCAGCACCAGCCTATAAGTACATTACTGCCTTACGATTCATATATTCAGAAGCTACAAGGCGTGAAGGAAAACAAATTAGCAAATTTTAAATTAAATTAAGTTTTTTTTATGTCGTTTGCCGTAACAATAAAACCGACGCTTACGCTCTCGACTCCCTTGTGTGCGTGCGCGTATACTATACACTATGTTGCTTATCTGTGTGAGTGATGCACTGCGTGTGCCTTACTATTCGACTATAGTACACTTGACGCCTTGACCGCTTGTATTTCTTAATCTCACTTTGTATTTCCTTTGTATTTGATTATGAAGTGGAGGAAATGTATAAGTATATCTCTAGAGCCATGCATTTTTCCAAAACCCACTTACGGTGTTAATGAGAGACTTCAACACAAAACTAGGCACAAGAGAGAAAGGTGAGCTGAAAGTAGAAAATTCGGGATAGGGGAACGGAAACCAAGGAGCCAGCAGCTGAATGACTTTATGGATAAAGAGGGACTCTTCATGAGGAACTCTTTCTTACAAAAACGGCCCGACAGAAAGTAGACCTGCTCGCGCCCCGACGGTTCGATAAAAATAAGATTGACTTCACTATGAAGATGAGATGGCACCTGTTTAGTGATGTCTCAGTGATCGCGAGGTTAAAAACTGGCAGCGATCACCGAATGATGAGAGTTACCTTAAGGACAAGCTTTTTTACATTTGCACATTATCTTAGAACCCAGTTATCGTTAGCACTGCTTCTATTTTATTAAGCTAATTGCTATTAATTGGTTCGTGAAATTTGTTGCGAACGTGATTGGAATTTAAATTGACACATCGACACAGATATGTTACTCAATGATACAATTTGCATGTTTACTAAGCGTAATTTAGGATCGCTATCGCGTACAAGAACGAAATCCAATAAATTACGAAGTGGTAGATATCAATCTAACAATAAATCACTTTTTATATAAAACTAAAGTGACAAACAAATTTACAACCCACCTGATGGTAAATGACTACCCGAGTCCCTGGACACCTGGAGCCAAATGCAAACAAAGGAGGCAACTGACCAAATGACGGCGTTGTCACCTCTGGTGACGATTTCTTTACGTGATATAGCTAAGCTGCAACTATATTGTGAATGTAGCATGAATGGGTCGTCTGGTACAACGAAGAACCACGCTCTCACTTCTGTTAGAGCGTGGTTCTTTGTTATATAATACCAACGTGAAATAGCAGTTTAATTCTACTGTATTCCGTATGCTGAGTGTAGGGAACCGAAGAAACTTTTCACTCTAAACTAAGCATTCTAACTTAGTCCTACGGGGTGACAACGCATCTGCATTTTGAATCTGAATCGAGGATAGATGTTGATGCTCAGTTATCACGCATAATCTATTTAAAAAAAAAAACAATGAATGCGTCACAGTTTGTAATTATACTGGTTCTATATACACATATCCAGCATATGAATCGTAACGCTATAATGGAAACCATTAATAAGAGTCTCCGGTTCTCTTCACTCTCTAAATGAAGCACAGCAACAATATGCTATGATTATTAAACTTAATAAAAAAACTAATATATATTGATCGCTGGTACTTATAACTAAATAATATAAATTATAATTGAATGTGTCGCATAACTGTTAGAACTAATATTTATGGATAGTGGTATATAAAAACCGATAGGGAACCTAACTGCCATCTCGCATAGCGATCTCATCACACTTCTTTGCGTCGATATATCCTTACGGCTGCACAAAAAGCGGGAAATCCACGCGCTTCAGTACATCATATAAGAGTCAATTACTGAACATTGACTTCCCCCACAGATTGCCTCGTAGCGATTTCACCATAGTTGCCACGCTTGGCAGGCGGTGTTGTAAGGCAGGTTGATGTTATTTTATCATTAAAATTAACAAATTCGTTTTTTTTTTTATTTAAATCGAATTTCGAACACCGTGGCCAGTCTCTACGGAGATTATATATTTGAGCAGGACAGGATTATAGTGCATGACTGTGTGCACAGGTGCGCTCTGTCCCTTCGCTCTTATTGTCCAATCTACTTCATAAAGGTGAAAGATCAGACGCAGAATGCTATTACTGAGAATTTCTTGCCAGAAAAACGCAATAGCTGATTTGGGCCCTGCTCGGGATTCGAACTAGGGGCCACATAATCAGTAGTCCCATTTACAGCAAATTTAGAAACAGGTATATCAATTTTGAAACCCAAACCAATAATATGTCGACCCGGAAATCGAACCCGATACGGTTATAAGCAGTAAATTTGACGAGAACTAGAAAATCTCAACTTTGTTTTCATTTATCTTTTATTAAAAAGCTTAAAATTGTGATTAAAATTCATATTTATTAGTGCTTTCATTCGAAACAACAATATTTATTTTCTGTCCTTTCATATGAAATATGCGTTTTGTACGGGAGGAATATAAAGTCAATTTTTGTTGTAAAATATATTTCATTAATCAAAGTATGCACCGTTGTTGTCTATGCACTTTTGCCATCTCTTTTTTTTATAGGAAAGGGTGACAAACGAACACACAGTCCACCTGATGGCAAGTGGTTGCTGTGGCCCATAAACATCTACGTTTATCCTCGTTTGCGAATCAAAATGAAGATGCCTTGTCACCCGTGAGGACTAAGATGGAATGCCTCTTTTCCAGTAAAAGGGTCTCCGGCTCTCTACACTCACCATACGAAACACAGCAGTGTTAAGCTGCTATTTGACGCTGGTATTCTGTGAGAGCTTGGTCCTTCCCCGGTCGAGCCGATCCATTCGTGCTACAACTATACTACTAATATAGCTGCAACTTGGTTCTACTATGTATAATCTCATAGGTAGTTCATTGATCCCTTTACTAAAAAACCATGGGGGCAAGATTCAATAAACTCTTTGAAGGCGGTTTGGACGGCCGCATCGGAGTTGAATTGTTTTTCCTTGTAAGAAGTTGTCCAAATTCCGGAAAAAATGGTAATCTGTTGGAGCAAGGTCCGGGGCGTACGGTGGATGTCTTGCTGGTGACTCTAAACATAATAACAAAATTCAAAAAAAAATGCATCCACTAAATCGATTTAAATAAAAAACAATAGTTGGCATGTTAGTTAACTTTTTCATCTGCACAGACTTACCTTTTAAGGCAATAGAATAAAACTCTAGGGACCTCGAAACGATACGCATATTGAAATTTAGCCTTCCGAAAATCAAACTGATTACAAGGAAAACGAAGTCCATAAATTGTTGTGCAATTTATTTTTACTACTTCCGAAAACTATTTTGAGCTTTTTGTAACTAATATTACTGTAAAGCAACGCTTTTCATATCTTTGTAGAATTCTGCGAACATGTTTATGTTAACGGAGTATTAAAGTAAAAGTTAATGACTCGATTGTAATGATTTATTTATAATTTACTAAGATTGCTGTTCTGCACTGCTCTAACTACTCGGAAAAGACAAAACAGTTCACACTGAAAAACAAAGGCTGAGCGCGACCCATTTTTGTACGTTCGGCCACGTTTAGAATTATTTAATAATATTCCACTACCCCATATCGTAGCTCATATCGTCATTTTTTATCGTTTTATAAAAGCAGCGTTATTTTTATTATAAAGTTACAGTCTATATACGTCCCACAGCTGGGCACCAGCCTCATCTCAGTTTTGAGAGGGTTTTGGGGCAAAGAAATGTCCGCCATGCTTTCCCAATGCATGTTGGCGGACTGCACATATTTCGAAATATTTTTTTTTATTTCTCAGACATACAGGTTTCCTCGGCCCCCAGTCCCCGGCGGCCCCGCTGCTCCAGGCTACGGTGGTGACCATGGAAACGGCGGGGCAGGGGGTGCTAAAAATCTCCGGTGGAGGTCGGCTGCCACCTAAGACGATTCGACCTGGCAACATACAACGCACGCACCCTGAGGACTGACGAGAAGGTCGTGAAGCTGAAGAAGAGATAGACAAGTTACGCTGACATATCATAGGATTATCCGAGGTCCGAAGAGAGGGGGAAGACACGGTAATCCTCTTGGAATTTCTCTGCGTGACAAATGTACTGAGGATATCCGCAGTAGAACAGAGTAGCCGACAAAGCACAACGGAGCAGTAAGTGGCAATGGGCAGGCTAGACACCCAACACCGGCTATTTCGCGAAACAGACCGAAGCCTAAATCGAACTACCGATGTTTCCGAACCACCCTATGTATATAGATATAAAATATGCTCTGTTCCACCACACCGAGTATTCCAAGCTAGACACCTTATCCGGCTATATCCGGAGCTAGACACCTTGTCTGCGGGAAATCTCCCCTTTTCTATTCACTGCCAAAGTAGCACTGAAATATAGGTGGGGATAAAAAAATACTTTTACTTAAAAAGATGCTTTTCAATCTCAGAAATATACACCATTTTATTTTTCACTCAGATCTTAGTTAATTATTTTGCACGTCATTGATATTATAAAAACTAATTCCGCAAGTAACGCTCAATTCCTTGACATATCATTTTACCACGGTTTTTCTTTTTCAGCTAGTAGAATATTCGTGTGCCAGTTTCTATGTACTCTGTACCAGATTCTTCAAATAAATTACAATTTACTTTTGAACTTGAATAAAACAAACATAGCAAATCGTTTTCTAGGCATCGCATTCGAAGCTCGTTACTGTGAGTCGAGATTTCGTGCGATGAGTTTATATTC